GGAGATCACTAGCTGAAATGGTTATCGTTGATGATCGATCTACCTTTTAGATTTGTTGAGGGTCAGAGCTTTAGGATGTTTATTATTGTTTCCTACCCTAGGTTTAAAATCACTTCAAGATGGACAGTGAGTAGGGATATATTCAAGATTTTTTTTGATGAGAGGGTACATTTGAAGAAACTTTTTAGGACTAGTAGTCAAATGGTCAGTATCACTACTGATACTTGGAACTTTGTACAAAGGATCAATTATATGTGCATAACATCACATTTCATAGAATATGAATGAAAGTGGCAAAATAAAATAATTTTATTTGTCCCCGTGTCTTCACATAAGGGGAAATACATTGCAAAAACACTAGAAACTTGCTTTGTTAACTGGGGGCTAAAGTCTATGTTTTCTATGACAAAAGTAATGATATTATTGTGAGATTTTTGAAGAAAAAAAAATGTTGTCTTGGGGTGGTACTGCCGTTAGGTGTAAGTATTTGCAAATGAGATGCATTGCTCACATCCTTAACTTGGGGGTACAAGATGGGTTGAGGGAATCTGACATTGTTGTTAAGAAAACCAGACAATGTGTTAGGTATGTGAGGAACTCCTCTACTACGCTACAAAAGTTTAGGGATATAGCTGATTTAATAGGGGTGGAAGGTAAAAAATTCTTTAACTCTTGATGTTCCGGCAAGGTGGAACTCCACAAACATGATGTTTCATATTGCATTGCTCTATTAGAAAGTGTTTGAAGCGTATGAAGGTCATGATACATCTTTTACTGTTGACTTTGGTGCAAATGTGCCTGATTTCATGGATTGGGATTCTGTTGATTCTTCTTTCTATTAAATGACTCTTAGGATATCTGGTTCTTTATATGTGGCTTCTAATTCATTTTTCTCTAAGGTTTCTAATATGCCATGCATATTAAATGAAATGGTGGGAGTTGAATAGGACAATGTTCAACTGGTGAGAAATAATATGTGGGTGGAGTTTGATAAATACTGGGGTGATCCAAATAAAATGAATTTTCTAATTTTCTATGCAAATATCTTGGACCTCAGGGACAAAACAGAATACATGCCATACTAGTTTACCCAATTTTATGATGATGTAAATAGTAAATCATTGTTTCAGAAGGTTATGATTGACCTTAAGGAGTTGCATGCTGATTATGTGGCCATTTTTGATGTCCAGATTGATCCAGTTAAACAGTTAAGAAAATATGTTCCCTCTATTTTACTGTCTGATCCAGTTTTCATTGGGAGACCTCAATCTTTGTTAAAAACTGAATTAAAGAAACAAAGATTAGAGAGTGAGGAATCGGGTAGGAAAAAAAACTGAACCGGACAGGAAAAAAACTGAACTTGATAAATAAATAAATAAATAAATAAATAAATAAATATATATATATATATATATATATATATATATATATATATATATATATATATATATATATATATATATATATATATATATATATATATATATATAGGAGTGATCACATGTGGCCATGTTGTTAGGTGTGGTCATATGGTCAATTATAGACCATTAGATTAGATAGATCTAATGAATCATATTAATCAAGATTTTTTCAGTATTTTCGCGCACATTCTTCTACCAAGCGAACTGTAAGGGTAAACTTGTCATAAAACACCAGAATAAGGAAAATCACATTGTTGTGTGTTTTATTACACTATTGGTGCATGTTGTCAACACTGTTGGTGTATTTTGGAACTCGACTGCTATAAATGGCCAATGTAATTACCATAACACGGGAATACACCATTGGTGTGTTTCACTGTGGTGTGTTTTATTACACTATTGGTGTGTGTTGTCAACACTGTTGGTGTATTCTGGAACCCGCCCGCTATAAATGGTCACTGTAATTACCATAACACCCCCACTTACTAAAACGCGCGAAAATCCTCAGAATTACCACATTCTTTAGATTAAACTGATTCAACGACACAGATACGACCACACCTAATGGCATAACCACATATGAGCGTTTTTATATATATATATATATATATATATATATATATATATATATATATATATATATATATATATATATATATATATATATATATATATATATATATATATATAGAGAGAGAGAGAGAGAGAGAGGAAGGGTTCAGGTGCGGGGAAGGGTTCTCGTGCGGTTGTGCAAAGGACGCACCTTAAGCATTAAAATGGCGCACCTTAAGTACACAAACCACGCATCTTAAGCACGCAAACAAAACACCTTAAGAACACAAACCACGCCCCTAAGATTTTAAAAAGGTTCACCTCAAGTTTCACACAACTGACACACATTAAACATACAAATCACGCACCTTAAGAAGGAAATAACGCACTTTAAGAAGGAAACCCACGTACCTTAAGTTTCAACAACTACTCACCTTAAGCACAAAACTCACGCACCTTAAGCACAAAAACCACGCACCTTAAATTTGACCTAAATGCAAAAATTACCAAATTGCCACTGCATTTTTATTATTATTTTGGTAATCCTGAATGTTGTTTTAAACAAGATCAATTGCTCAAATTTAACCGCACAACTGTGCATGGGACTGCCAACCACACTATATATATATATATATATATATATATATATATATATATATATATATATATATATATATATATAGAATTCAGTTCCGTGCGGTTGGGTGTGTGTCATGTGGTTGTGCGGTTAAATATGAGCCATTGATCTTGTCTAAATCAACGTCCAGGATTAAGAGTGATTAAAAAAATGTGTGGTGGCAATTTGGTCTTCTTACATCTAGGTCAAATTTAAGGTGCGTGGTTTTCCTTCTTAAGGTGCGTGGTTTTTGTGCTTAAGGTGAGTGGTTTTATTACTGTGTGGCTTAAGGTGCGTTAGGTGTTGAAAACTTAAGTGCGTCGATCTAAAGCTTTAGGTGCATGGTTTTCATTCTTAAGGTGCATGGTTTTCCTTCTTAAGTTGCATCGGCCTAAAGCTTTAGGTTCGTGGATTTCTTTCTTAAGGTGCGTTGTTTTCCTTCTTAAAGTGCGTGATTTGTATGCTTAAGGTGCTCAGTTGTTGAAATTTAAGGTGCACCATTTTAAAACTTTAGGTGCGTGGCTTGTGTTCTTAAGGTGGTTTGTTTGTGTGCTTAAGGTGCGTGGTTTGTGTACTTATAGTGCGCCATTTTAAAACTTTTGGTGCGTGGTTTGTTTTCTTAAGATGCTTTGTTTGTGAGCTTAAGGTGCGTGGTTTGTGTACTTAAGATGTGCCGGCCTAAAGCTTTAGGTGCGTGGTTTTCCTTCTTAAGGTGCGTTGTTTTCCTTCTTAAGGTGTGTGATTTGTGTTCTTGAGTTAACCGCACAACTGTACGAAAAGTTATACTCGCACCTGAACCCTTCCATATATATATATATATATATATATATATATATATATATATATATATATATATATATATATATATATATATATATATCTTAATCATATGAAAACCACTCCCCAGGAGAGAACTTATGGACAAATCCAAACTATTGATATGCAAGATCTGATGGATGGGAAATTAAGTAAAAAATGAACATGGTCATTTTCATAAATATTAAAAAATTTTGTTTGAAAAAATTGGTTAGGCGCTCCTCGTGCGCTAGGGCCTAACGCCTAGGGGGCGATTAATCGGCACCTAGGCACCCTTGTATTTTTTATTTTATTTTGTATTTTTTATATTTATTTTAATTTTTTAAGACTTGATAATAATTATGACTAGGGATGTCAATTGTACCCGCACCTGACGAGGAACCCGATTTCCTGCCCCTACGGGGACGGGATTGGGGACAGAAATAGGGGATCGGGGATAGGGATGGGGGCAATTTTGAATTCCCCGCTGGGGACGGGGGCGGGGATGGGGAGTACTCTCCCCACCCCGCTCCGTCCCCGATATATATATATATATATATATATATATATATATATATATATATATATATATATATATATATATATAGCCACACAACACACACATATGTAGTACTTTGTATACAATATATATAATTTTAGAAGCATTCTTGTCATTGTATGTCATGCTTTTGAAATGCATATTTAAATAACATGTTTAATTGTAAAATATTGTATACTACTTTAAGTTGGGGATTGATATATATGCATTATTTATATAAATGTTTTTTAATGTTTAATTTTTATTTTTTTATAACTTATTAACAGGGTGGGGATTCCCCGTCCCCGAATAATCCCCCAGGAATGGGGATGGGGGAAGTTTTCCCTTCCCCGATGGGGATGGGGACGGAGACGAGGAATGAGTAGAAAGTCGGGGGCGGGGATGGGGGGTATGACATATTTAATTTAATACTTTAATAATTAATATTAAAATATTAAATATTAACCTAAAAAAAAACATATAGATTTTGAATAATTTATGATTTTTTCGCTCAAAATGATATCCTTACCCATTTAAAAAATGAGTGAACAATAGTTAATATAATCGGCCACTAGACGACCTAGTCGCTGCCTAGAAGACTTAGGCGGTCCGCGCTTAGGCAACCTAGTCAGGCCGCCTAACTGGCCAGTTGCCTAGACCACCGATTATGGTGATACGCTAGGCGGCTGTCTAGCGCCTAGCACCTCAGCGCTGATTAATTTGTGCCTAGGCGTAATTTTTGCAAACACTTATTATTATTAGTGTATACTGTATAGTGATGAGCATATATATGGGGTATGGTGATGATTAGAATGAATTTGTGATGCATGATTATGTATAGAGTATAGTATAATGTGTATATTTGGGTGAGGAGGTAGTGAAGTGAAGAAAGAAAAGCACCACCTCTCCTCCTTTCTTTTAATTTGATTCATTCATTTATCTATAAATAATGCAGTTATTGGGACACACAACTAACATTATATTATATTCCCGTCCTGAATTATATTCTCTCTCATCTGATCTTCCTTCACCACAACATTTCCCGCTCGATCTCCTCCATCGGACGCCGGGAAATCAAATGGTGAAGACGGAGGACTGCTCATCGTCGTCGGCTCATTGCCCTAACCGGACATGCATGGGCGACGGCGGCGACGGCGACGGCGACATGTCGACGTCCTACGACGCCAACAACATGTACGTAGTCCGATCATCGAAAAATCGCGGGTACCACGCGCCGCCGCGGAGCTACGGCAGGGAGAGGGAGATATGCAAGGCGGAAAAGTCGATAATGTGGCACTCAAAACGGGAGCTTAAAAGGAGGAGGAGAATCGTCAAATATAATCTGTATTCCATGGAAGGCAAAATGAAGGATTCTTTCAACAATGGCTATCGTTGGCTCAAACGTGAGTGTTTCAGAATTTTTCATGGATTTTAATTTTTAATTTAATGGAAGATCATTTATATCTTCTTTATTTTTGGGTTTCTGCTTCTGTAATTTTCTTTCTCTTTTTCGATTTCCAATTTGGTTTTGGGTAAAAACAAATTCAATTCAATTTCCTTAGCTTAGCTTCCAGCGTTATGATTACTTTGATTTTATAGAGTTAATTTCAGGAATGGTCCTCCGACTACGTTGATTTTCTGCAATTGGTTCTCGACTTTTAATTTGGACAATTTAAACATTTGACTTTCGAATTCTTTCCAACATTGGTCCTTCTGTTAAATGAAGGTTAAGTGCACATCAAATGGAGGGGCAAAACAGCCCTTTAACATGCTAAGTGTATAATTATCGAAATTCCCAAACATGCCCACCTAGTATTCTCTGACGAACCACCGCCCCTATGCCGGCACCCACCATGTGGGCGGTTTCTCCGCACCGAGCAGCGGCAGCACATTCTGGATGCTGTCGTTCACCTCCGGCGATAGTGGCGAGAGCGGTCAAGCCTTCCTCGCTGCAGCGAAGAGCACTTCCGGCGACGCCCCATTAGAGACCCAGATGTGGTCATTCTCCAACAACAATTCAAACAAAACTCTCCAGTCCCACTTACAGTTCACGACGCGCTTCAATCTCCCGGCGAACCTTGATTTCCACGGCGGTAGAGGCCCTCTTCCGCTGTCGAACCAGCTTGCCGATAACCCGGATCTGGTTCTCGAATTCCCCGAACCGATGCAGGCCGCTCTCGCCGATGCGGCGGACTTCCACCCGGATGTTTCTCGCCGTCCACCATCACCAACTCCCTTGTTTTTTGGGTCGCTGGCGCGTGACCCTTATTTGGCTCCTCGTTGTCGTCGATCTGAGCTGTCGTTTCTCCGGTGAGTCACTCGACGGTCAAGTCACCAAGAGTGGCCAACATAGTCACCGCCGAGATATTCCGGCGCCTTGGTCGAAGAAGGAAGTAGAATGGATTTTGGGATTTTGCTATTTGATGTATGTGGCGTTACTGGCGTATACAAGGAAGGAGAAAGACACTATGCAATTGAAATGACCATTTTACCTCTTAATTTAACCATTTAACGGAATGACCAAGATTGGAAAGAATTGGAAAGTCAAGTGTCTAAATTGTCCAAATTAAAAGTCGAGGACTAATTATGGAAAATCAACATAGTCGGAGGACCATTGCTGGAATTAACTCGATTTTATATTATACTAGTCCTCTCACATTGTCTAATGTTTTTCCCAATTATTATATATCCACTTTTTCCTTTTTATAATAACTACAATCTAACCCTATCTATAGTAATGGTTCACATAATATGTCAACCCTTGAACTAGGATGAGACTCGAACATGTGGCCTTCAGGACGTTTGGTTGGGATGAAGGAATTAGGAAGGAAAAAAATTGTAATTCGATGGGAAAAGAATAATGATGAATAAAGTAGGAATTCAAATTACATTATTTGGGGGAAATAATAGAATTTTGAGAATAGAAAAAAGAAGAAGTGATATAAAGGCTAAAATACCCTTACGTAATAATTATTATTATAATCAAGGGCAAATTTGTAAATTTCTTCAATTTTCCATTACATCTCACCGCTGAATTGGAATTCTTTGGAGTGTATGAATTAAAATTGTAAATCAATGGTTTGAGAAAATTGCAATTCCTTCCAACCAAAAAATGTATGTAATTGGCATGGATGATGAATTTCATTACAAAGGAATTGAAATTCATGCCAACCAAATACCCCATAGGGGTGTTGTGGGTTTAAAATTTGTTAAATAATATTTTCTTTAAGATTATTTATTCTACAATTAAGCACATAAGGAATCTAAATAGGCCTCCAAGATACAATGAAATCTATATGTGTTTGATTATGAATGTTCACTTTTTTGACAACATAACAAATCTAAATACAAGAACTGATGACATTTAACACAATAGTCTTTGTGTTATATATCTTATATATGTAGCAAAGAATACAAAGTAAATTTCGAATGCAAGAAAATTGTTCATTTTAAAAGAAATTTTATTGGAGGATAAAGATACTTTTCAACTTGAATCAACTTCACTTAGATGCTTGGATGCCAAGGAAATGACTACAACACTCGTTGATGACGGTAAATTTGGTGCTTAGAATGGTCTTGATCATATAGGCAAGTTAATGCAAAAATTGAGTAAAAGTGTGCAAAACTAAAATCCTCGTCCAAAATGACCACTGCTAAGAATTTTGATTATAACTTGAAATAGGAAGATTCAATTAGAATGATTGAATTGGAAAGTCAAATCAAAGAACTACGTACAACTCTATCTTATGAAAGCCATAATTCCCATAAAGCCTAATTTTGAAGTGATTTTATCACTTTTGCAAAAATCGGCCTATGCGCTAGGTCAATTCGGTCTTGCTAATTTTGTTAATTTTTTAAATTATATATAACACCATAGGGATGCACTCAGGTGCGAATAAGTGCCCAGGGGAGAATATGCAAACGAATCAGCGCGCGACACGTGTCCGGATCTAATAGATTAAAAAAACGCGGTGACATTTTCGTAAATAATTGAACATCGAAGTGCAAGTAAAATCACTTACAAATGCACCAACTTTCACCTATAAGTGGATGTAATTTTGCCTTGTTAATATTCACTTCCCGCAAACATTCATGCACCTAGGTGCACCTACTTATAACTATATGTGCAACTATTTATAACTATAGGTGCAACTACTTATAACTATAGGTGCACATACTTTCACCTATAAGTGCATGTAATTTTGCCTTGTTAACATTCACTTCCCGTAAACATTCATGTACCTAGGTGCACCCACTTATAACTATAGGTGCAACTCCTTATAACTATTGGTGCAATTACTTATAACTATATGTGCAACTACTTATAACTATAGGTGCACTTAGTATTGATGCTCAGTGTAAATTTTACTTGCACCTATAATACATTTTACATGCACTTGTAATACATTTTACTTGCACTTCGATGTTCAATTATTTACGAAAATGCCACCGCATTTTTTTAATCTATTAGATCTGGACACGTATCCCGCGCTGATTCGTTCACATATTCCCTCCTAGATGCTTCATTTGCACCTGAGTGCAATTCTAACACCATATATATAATTTCACCATATATTTGGAGGAAGTTTGCTGGTAAAAGCACTCGAAGGACCATTGGAGATATTAACTCATACATTTTATTTATATGATATTTTATATTGCGCATGCTTAATTGAATAAATTTTGTAGATCACTACGAGAGTATAGTAGGATTCGCTAAAAAAGGCGCATTACTTGTCTTTCATTGATAATGAGAAGAGTTAATTACCGAAATGGTCCCTTGACTATAGTAAAATTACCAATTTGGTCCTTGACTATTTTTTTTGACCAATTAAGTCCCTCAACTTTAAAATTTTTAACCAATTTGGTCCCCCGTTTGTTTGATCGTTAGTCAACCATTACCTTGGGACCAAATTGGTAATTTGCTATAGTCAAGAGACCATTTTGGTAATTAACTTTAAGGGTGGGCAATTCGGTTCTGTTTTCTCGAACCGAACCGTACCATAATAGTTAGATTCGGTAATATACCGAACAACCGAATGGTAATAGATTCTTGTATACCGAACAGTTCGGTAAAAATTCGAACCGAACTGAATTTGTTCGGTAAAAACTGAACCGAACCGAATACCGTTTGAACTTTGGATTGCTATTTTGTTATATATTAGACTTTGGATATGGATTATGTAAACACCATAACACATAATATAGAACTTTTGATAACAAACCATAAAGAAATCAAATAAAACATTTATGAGAGATACCCGTAAAAATAGCTTAACGACAGAGCAAACAGTAAGGGACTTGGATTTACTTTTTATTTATTTTTATTATTAATTTTATTATTATTATTATTATTATTATTATTATTATTAATTTTATTATTATTATTATTCTTTTTTTTTAATAAATCAAACGGTATTCGGTTCAATTCAATTTTTTACCGAACACTTCGGATCGATTTTTTATCGAATCGTTCGGTATACAAGAATCCAATACCGTTCGGTTGTTCGGTATATTATCGAACCAAATTAGTTCGGTTTGGTTTGGTACGGTTCAATTTGAGAAAACTAAACCGAATTGCCCACCCCTAAAGTTAATTACCAAAATGGTCCATTGACTATAGCGAAATTACCAATTTGGTCCCAAGTTAACGGTTGACTAACGGTCAAACAAACGGATGACCAAATTGGTTAAGTTTTTAAAGTTGATGGACTTAATTGGTTAAAAAAAATAGTCAAGAACCAAATTGATAATTTTGCTATAGTCAAGGGACCATTTCAGTAATTAACTCTAATCAGAATACGGTATTATCAATTACAGGCACTATAAGATGTAACTGAAAATTTATTTCAAGCATCATAATGTTTGTTTGAAAATTACAATTACAGAAAAAAAAAAAAAAAAAACCATAAAATGTGGTCACGATAGATTAGGTGAAAAAGAAACTAGTATAAAGAACGCCAAAATAAGACATTCACAGATTTGTTGGTGAATAAAAAAATCTTGGAATAAGGTTCAAATTGATCACTGAACATAACTTGAAAATGTAATTAGGTCACTGAACGAAAAAAAAAGTGCAATTAGGCCACTAAACACTCCAAATGTATGCAATTTCACCTAATAGCAGGTTACCATCAATTTTAGCAGGTTACCTGCTTATGTGGTAGCTGGGTTGACATTTTAAAATAATTTTAATAATAATTTTTTTTAAAAAAACGATGATAAGCAGGTAAAATTTAAAATTGATTATTAAAATTTATTATTAAATTTATTTTAAAAATTATTAAAAATGTCAACTCAGCTGCCACGTAAGCAGATAACCTGCTAAAATTGATGGTAATCTGCTATCCGGTAAAATTGAATACATTTGGAGTGTTCAGTGATCTAATTGCACGTTTTTGGAGTGTTCAGTGTCCTAATTGCATTTTTTTTTTCGTTCAGGGACCTAATTGCATTTTCAGGTTACGTTCAGTGGCCAATTTGAACCTTATTCCAAAAATCTTTAATGAGATATTAAGATCTGAGATATGAAAAAGGCAAATTATATAGTGCACTGCGGTGCATAATCGAATATGCACTGCGCATCAAAACGACGTCGTTTTGTTTACTGAAAAGAAACGGCATCCGTTTTTCGCCGTTCCGCATCCTTCCGCAAAAAAGTAACTCTGTTATTCAATTCCATTTTGTATACACTGCAGTTTCAGTTCAACACCACTACAATTTCATTTCGATATAACTACAGTTTCATTCATAGACTCAAATATGTGAAAATGTTATTTAATTTTATTTTATATACACTATAGTTTTATTAAAACACAACTACATGATCATTTTGATATATTTACAGCTTCATTGTACAATATATACTCAAATATGTGAAATGTTATTCAGTTTCATTTTATATACACTACAGTTTCATTTCACCACAACTACAGTATCATTTTGATATAACTGCGGTTTCATTTGATAATATAAAAATAATACGTGAGGCAGTGTTGGTTTAGATATACTGTAGTGCCAATTGGTAATTAACATAAAAAAATGCGCGCTCCGTTAATACTAACGGCGCACCGTTTCTTTACTTAAAGAAACGGCGCCGTTTTGACCATGCACCGCGGTCCACGATATAACGACCCATGAAAACCTGCAGAGATTAGGGTTGGGGTTCAGCCTTTTGGAAGAATGAAAACCTGCAGAGAAATAAGTTTAGCCCAACATATGTTATATCAATAGTTATTGCGTGGACCGTGGTTCACAGAATTGTGTGGACTACGGTTCAAAAACGACGTCGTTTTGCTTAATTTTATTTTTTCGCGTGCTCAGTTGCAACATACATTTTTATAACTCATAATGTACATTATTTTAAAGCATAATGTACATTATTTTAAAACATAATATATATTATATTACCCCAAATGTTTCATTATTCTAACACATAGTGTACATTAATTATTCTAACGCGTAATGTACAACTGTGTAGATCACGATTCACACAATAATTTGCTGCAACAATTTTTGTGCTTACAAAATCTTTCAATGATTATATCATGGACTATGTCGTCCACTTTACAAGATAGACCATTAGCATAAGGTCTACTATTACGTGCTAAATATTTATTTTCTAAAGGTTATTTTTTTATGTACTCAAGGTTTATTATTAAATATACTATCAAAAAGAAATTTTCAATACATTAAAAATGAGCATTCAATATACTAAAATGAACATTTATCAATGATTTATATTGCAATATAGACCATGATTCATAGTGTATATAGGGAGTGGATCACGTGTAAATATATTTTCTTGTACGTTTGTGCGGTTACCACAAAAAGACGCACATTAAGCATTAAAATGATGCACCTTAAGCAGACAAACAAAACACCTTAAGAACATAAACCACGTACCTAAAGTTTTAAAATGGCGCACCGTAAGTTTCAACAACTAACGCACCTTAAACATACAAATCACACACCTTAAGAAGGAAAACAACACACCTTAAGAAGGAAAACCACGCACTAAAAGCTTTAGCCCGACGCACCTTAAGTTTCAACAACTGACGCACCTTAAGCACACAAATCACGCACCTTAAGAGGGAACCATGCACCTTAAGAAGAAAAATCTCGCACCTAAAGCTTTAGATCGACGCACTTAAATTTTCAACAACTGATGCACCTTAAGCCACACAGTACAAAAACCACTCACCTTAAGAAGGAAAACGACGCACCTTAAATTTGACCTAGATTCAAAAATACCAAATTAGCACCGCGCGTTTTTTAATCACTATTAATCATGGACGTTGATCTAGACAAGATCAATGACTCAAATTTAATCGAACAACTGCACCTGAGGTAGCCAACCGCACGGGAACCCATATATATATATATATATATATATATATATATATATATATATATATATATATATATATATATATGTATGTATGTATGTATGTATGTATGTATGTATGTATGTATGTATGTATGTATGTATTGGATCATATCATTCATATGAGAATAAGTCCTTAGGAGAAAAACTAAGAACCTATCTCAACCTTACGTTTGGAAAAATTGGATGGACCAAATCTAATTTTAAAAAAATGTGGTGGCATTTTCATAATAAAAAAAAACGAATACGCAAGATTAATATATATATATATATATATATATATATATATATATATATATATAGAGTATGTATGTATGTATTAAAATTCAAAATAAATTTAATAATCTTTCAATCAATCAAGGCTTTAAAACTAACAATTAAATATTGCACATTTATTTGTAACAATTAACTAGACTTACTTTTGAATTAGACATCATAACTAATTTAATGACTCTAATATGCTAATTGCCTTGTGGTCTTGTGGTCTACATTGTAATTGCACTTGTAACTAACTAGAGTTATTTTTGAATTAGACATCACAACTAATTAAACGACTCTAGTATGCTAATGACTTGTGGTCTTGTGGTATACATAGCAATAGAGTATATATATATATATATATATATATGTGTGTGTGTGTGTGTGTAAACTCCTATGTTATTTTCCACACCAAGAATGATGTGATGGCCCCATGAAACTAGCTATAATTTGTTTGCACGGTGTGTGGCAGGCTCACGTTTAAATTCTGAAAATATTCATGGCACATGTAGATATGCGACTTTTTGGTCATGGACCCTAGGGCCTATTAATAATGCAATGTCATGAAAGTTTCTAAAACAAAATCATAACCATAAAGAATAAGTATAACCGGTGGAGCCAGAAAAATGAGGCAAATTATATCGTGTACACCTAAAACGACATCGTTTCTATAAGTTGGGTGAGTTGATGTGACGGATACCATTCTATTCGTCCGATCCCGCTATGGTTTTATTTTTGTGTGTTTATATGTATTATATTAAGAGTTTATGTGTATTATGTTATGAGTTCATGTGTATTGTTTGTAAGAGTTTATGTGTATTATATATTATGTTAGATTATGTGTATTATGTTAGGAGTTTGTGTATTCTACTATACAATTCTGTACTACGAAACATGAAATTTTTTAAGGCGCACAATGCATTGTGCGCCCACGATACAACGATTGAAAAAAAAAAAAAAAGATGTTTGGAAGTCAAAATTATCGATATAATTTACAATGCCAATCAACATCAATACTTATTATACATGATATCATTATATATACAAATTGAGTGATATTCTACCATTATATATTTTCACCCGAGTAACTCATCCTGATGGACTGAAGGTGTTGCCAATACCAATGTCGTCTACAAAGAGGTTTCAATAATGTGTAAATATTATCGGTGATATTATGTTTTCTTTTTAAATGAAAAAATTGCTATATATCTAGACAAAAAATAGATATTCCATACAAATGAATTAACATAGCAATTCATTCCTATAACTGAATTGTTAGAGAACGAACACATTTGTCTAATTTATAAAAATACTAAACAATGATAAATAAAATTTTCAAATTTATAACACCGCATGCGTACATCTAGACATTAGCTATTAATTTGAGCAATTATTTACACAAATTCAAGCAATGATAACATCAAAATACATAAACGATCCAAACCATATATTTAATTGCACTATATAATATTTGATGTTCTAATTTAAATAATTATATATCGATTCAAATATTCTTAATATATTACAACAAATCCATTCCGTGCATCGCGCGGATGAAAATACTAGTACATTACAAATTAAAATGGCTAAAAATACTTTTTATTTTTATTATCATGAATGGTGATAAAAATAAATGTAGAAATATATCTAATTTGTAATTTAACAATCACTATGATCACAACTAGGGGCTTACGTCCCATCCCGAACGGATGAGATAATCGAAGTATTTTCCCGCGTGAGCAGGAGGATGTCAGTGGTCAAAGATCTCAGAGTTTTAAACTGGCACACTAGAAACCAAATTTTAAAAGTTTTGAAGTTATCCACACGGATTAGTCTTCAAGAATTGGTTAATCACAGCGAGCGGCTCTCTGGCCATTATCAGACTAAACAAACCAGATGTCTTCGCAAGCAAAAGAAGAGTTGTCGCTATTTCTGTCTACGAGTTACCAGGGTATCTGTCTATACTGAATAATCATACTCGATCCTGAACCGATCCAATCCATTTACGAGTAATTGATGAATATAAAAAATTGCAAATCACCTACTTTAAGAAATAGAATCAAAAGAACAGTGTAGGGCACTAAACCAAGATTTTCCATTTTGAGGCTTGATGGGGTTGGGTGAGGAGGCACAGATAGTCAGATAGATAACAGAAAACCGAGTATTATAACTAAGGCAAATAAGTAAAAAGGTCATGCTAAGAAAGATCCAATCAGAAAATTTTCAAGAAATGCTATAATCTGGTAAAGTAAAGATCAAAATCCATAATGAATGAGTTGGCATACTAGGAATAAATGCTCATACACCAGATATTTTACCAGAAACGCCCTTTTCTTCATCGCCATCTGCATAGTTGTTGACATGGTTCTTAATTTCTCGCTGTGATGGAGCACTGCTTACCACAGTAACTGATTGCTGATAAAGAACACCACCAGCAATAGTAAACAGCAAGCATAGCAGCCCGAAAGGACTGGCATGCTTATCCCAGATGACGACATTAATTGCAACTGTCAAAAACTTATTTACTACACCTGTCACTGTAAAGGCAGTGGCAGATATTGCCTTCCTTGCTGCAAACCCAAAGAAACTAATGAGCAGACCAAACACACAGGAGAGCGACACCGCGTAAAACGCAACGGGGTTGAATAAATTCCCCGTGCCAGATCCCATGGAAACAACTACTTGTGAAAACTCCCCAGTAATGACCCAAAACAAGGGAGCTATCATCAAAGAGAGCAAATTGTTATACAGCACAAATCCCCAAGTATTTAGTCCAAGGTTGGTCACTATATGCTTGATGTAAACCATCTCAGTAGTAATGGTCACCAAATAAGCAAGTGCCCATGAATAAGCAGTCAATGTAAAACCTGAATCTGTAGCAACATATCCAATAGCACCTCCCAAAATAATGACCAAGGATAGAAATGTTAACTTTGAAGGCAACGGTTGCTTCCTAAATGTTGTATCAGCCAACGCAACCAAAAGGGGTGTACATGATCTGAACACTATAAATGTATCCACATTGGCATGGCTTAAAAGATTTGTGTTTGTGAATATTGCCAAGAAAAACACAAAGGCACCAGGCAAGAATTTCTTAGCAGTTTCCCATGTGAACGCATCATGGTGCAACAGCCCTAGCTTCCCCAAAACCCAAACACCCAGAGCTGAGGTGAAGTACTGCAATGCAGTGAGAAGCCCTGGGTAATTAAAGTGGGTAATTGCAAACTTGTTGATCACCGCAAGCAAGCTAGAACATAAAGCATAGCCCAACACAACAGTGCAAGTAGCATAATATTGTTTTGTACCCTCAAATCCAATTGGTGCCATTTTCACAACACTACACTATGAAATTATCTTCCTTCTTGTTTTCCTTACTTTCTCTACAATTCCCACCACTTAACCTCATTAAATCTGAGTACAACAGCCTAATGCAATACTTTTGATCCCATACTGATACACATATCAACACAGAAATGCTTTGATGAGCTGGAAATGCAAATCATGGTGACAATGGAGATTGAAGTTGGCTATGATTTTGATCTGCCAAATAATGGGAAACCCAATGGAAAAAAAAAAAATCAGATATTCTTGATGCAGTTATGCTTGAGATCAGATCTTCATCAGTAGATTATTGCGGAAAGCAGAGATTTTACATAAAATTCTAAAATCCTAAGATAAATTAGTTGTGAGAATTGATCAAAAGCTGAGGCAGATGGGTAAAATCAATTCCAAGTTCCAACAATTAAGTGGGATGAAGTAAAATTCTAAAAATTAACATATTATCAGTTACCTGAGTAGCTGAGGGTCGACCAGGCATCCGGCGTGGCTGAGGTTAGGTGAGAGGAGTGAGGGAGACGGGGAGAGGAGCAAGGGCGTTGGCGTCAGAAATGGAGAAGATTAAGATGCGAGGGTAGGGCCAAACCGCTTGACCGGAGTGTGTGGAGGCCGGAAGGAGGAGTTAGCGAGACGCAGAGGACAGTGGAGAGCTTTGAAAGTGTGGAGTGGGGAAGGCAAGAAACAGAGATGCACATCTGAATAGGGTTAGGGATTTAGGGGCTATGCTTTTTCTTCTTTTTTTTTTTTTTTCAAAGTATTTTGTGCATTTTGTTTTGTATTGAGCTAAACATTTTGTTTTGTATTGAGGAAAATCCTCCATTTTTCCAAGTTAGTAAACGGCCCCTAATTCATTTCTTTTGTACTACGCAGAATGAATGGGCAAACGGTTGACTTGGAGTAGTATTGATCTCAAGTATTCACTGGCTTAGGGGAGTGGGGAGTGTATTCATTCGTGTAGAGTTTTAAAAACTTTTAAAATGATAGATTTTAATAAACTTTGATTGACTTTCATAGTCGTTCAGAACTTTTTAAAACTTTATAAGACTCTATAAAAGTCTATATAAAAAACATTCATAGACTTTTATCAACTTTTTATTTTAAAAAGTCTACAAAAGTCATTAAAATTCTAAATTGAATACATCCTTACAAACTTTCAATGATTTTGATTCTTATCATTTATAATTTTCTTACAAAACATTTATAATATATCATAAAATTTTCTTATTATGTAGTTCTTCACCCACATCAACATTCTCAACATTATTATTTTATCCATAGTATGTTGAGACTTATATGCTAGCTAATTACTTATATATATTATTAATAAACATAAAAAAAAATTATTTCATTAGAAATTCATAACAATATTGAATAAGAAAATATATAATAAAAGAATTGATCAAATAAAATATTTAAAAATATAATTACAAGTTGCATAAAATAAAAAAAATAAAAATCTAATATTTATAATATATATATATATATATATATATATATATATATATAATTATACTTGATATATTGCTAGGCATCACGCAAAGAACTATTATTTGCAATAGCAATTTGAGACTGCGAACAACAACAAGGTGTTACTGTTTGCAACCCCAAATTATTGTTGCGAACAGTAGTTCGCTATTCGTAGTAAGTTGTTGTTAAAAAAATGAAAAATATATATTACGAATATAAACATAAAAAGAATAAAAATCAAAATATATAAGTATTTATATGAATATTATGAAACATATATTAAAATTTGATGATGAAAAAATTGCTTTGTTCATGTATTTAGGGAGAATTAGAGAAAGTTAGGGATAAAAAATTCATAGAAAAAATAAAAATCAATATAAACAAGAAATAATGAAGTAAGAATAATATTATTTCGAATTTTCAGAGGAAGATTGTAAAGTTTAGGAGAGAGAGAAAAATTGGTAGAGTTTAGGTATGAGGAAAATATAAGATAATGAAGAAAAAATAATTTTATTTAATTTAGATAGGTTTATAAAGTTTAAATTGGGAGAAAAAATAGAGAGAGACATTCAAAGTTGTTAGAAAGAAAATTTTGAAATCTGAGGGTTGATGGTTGAATTTCAACTATTTATATTTGAGAAGAAAAAGTCTACAAAAGTCTTAAAATTAAAAAGTCTACAAAAGTTCATAACTTTTTGAATACCACGTGACTTTTAAAGACTCTCTAAAAGTCTTAATTGAATACCACACGACTTTTAAAGACTCTTTAAAAATCTTGATTAAATACCGCATGAGTTTTAAAGACTCTCTAAAAGTTTGAATTGAATACCCCCAAACTTTTAAAGTTCATAAAAGTCTTTAAAATTCTATGAAAGTCATGATTGAATACACCCCTCTTAGATTTGTTCACACGGACTCATATATCAGATTTACAATTTTAAATAAGACTAAAAATGTCGTATATAAATAAGTTTTCAATACTATGTAATACAATTTTAATGTTAATTATTAAATAATTTATTTAATATTTTAATTTCTTACTCCAAATATTTTAATTTCTTATTATTATGTTATATTGTTTCATTTTATTATTATCATCAAATGGTCGTGCATCGCACGAGAGCAAATACTAGTATAACTAAGACAAATCACACTAAATTAAGTGAGACTATCAACTGAAATAGCTTATAATGCATTGGAGTATTTTTCTCCTCACCATCAATGCACCATACATACACACCCACTATCATACACATCGTTTTGAAGGGAATTGGACATAATTATACAATATTATACCATCTCATCAATATAATAACTAGTTTGACATACTAAATTCTTAGCTAAATGAAGTTTCTCCCTTTATATATTGTTCCTTTCTCACTTTAACAACAAATTTTTCTAAACTAGTTTGACATACTAAATTCTTAGCTAAATGAAGTTTCTCCCCTTATATATTGTTCCTTTCTCACTTAACAACAAATTTTTCTAACAATATAGCATTTCATGTTCAAATGTAAGAATTTGTAAGATGATAAAAAGAACATCTCATGAGAAACTAAATTACGAAGCTCAACAGAGTTCACCCTTGTATCATTTGTCCCTTATTGCCCTAACTTCTAAGTAGTTCATTCAACAATAACTGGCACTAGAGAGTTACAACTGGCCTAATCAGCACTTATATACCAGTCACAATTGTGACCACATCTCATTTCAGCTTCCCAATTTAGAATTTTGGAGCCCTTTTACACATTAATCTCTCCTCTGACCTAAAGTATCAGTGTACAAAAACCAATATCCCTTACTTGATCACAGATCTTTAAATATCCACTCACACCAGCTTTCAAATACACAAGACAGAATTTCATTTAAGTACAAAGCATCCGCTGATTCACATCTTTATTCTAACAATAATTCTAATTCCACAATCAAAACTTATTGTTTTTTTTTTTTTTCAACTACTGCCTGGCGTTTTATATTAAAAGGAAAAAAAATGTCATGCCAGTTTATTTCATGACTATTCTATCCGCATTGTACTTCATCATGAGAACACAATTTTCAATCATGTATGATGCATTGAACTCTATCAAAATCGATAGAAGCAAACTTGAAAATGTGCTTCAAGCTGAATCAACACTAAAATTTTTGCGACCCCCCTTTTAAAACGACCAAAAGGCTTCAAATATGAATTAATTTATTAAAAAAAAGCATATTTTTAGATTGAAATGAAATAGAAACCCAAGAGAGTAGGATAAAAATAGGAGTAAACATCAGTATTATAGATTGAAGTTGCTAGAAAGGCACACTTTTCACGAGCAATCAATGAAAATAATGAGAGCCGAAAATGAACTTACGGATAACGGATCTGCGCCTCTGTGGACTAAGTAGGGGAAAATGGCAAGAATATGAGAATTGAGATATAATTTTGGAATTAGGTTTTGTTTTATAGTTTGGGGATTTTTTCTAAGTTCATCAGTATATCACCAACAATATGTAATTGTTTAAAATTATTTTATCAAATTTTTATTTTAAATAGTACAATAATATTTATAATAGCGGTCACAGTCATTTAATTTTCTTGTAAATTTGGACAAAATTTTGGGGCAAACGAATATTTCAAGAATTAGGCAAGTAGAATTACCAAATAAATCCAAAGAATTAATGTTATACTATTTTTGATATTTTAGTGTTTGATAAATAGAATTAATAAATTGATAAAATAGTTAGCTAATCAGCTAATTTTAACTTATTTGATTATTATTAATTGTTTAATTTGGTTAAAAATAATCAATATAAGTGTTTGGGTAATTAGTTTTTTTTTTTTAACTCCAAAATGCTAAAATTCAAAAAACTGCTCAAAATAACTTTTTCAATTAGCTTTTTAAAATTAGCTTTTTGAAAAAAGAAATTATACCAAACAGCTATCAGCTAACAGCTAATTTACCAAATATTTTTCTACAATCAGCTAATGTTATCAACTAGTTATACCCCATAATTAACCCAATCAACTAATAGCTAACAACAATTTATCATATTTTGTGATGCTCAATGATAATCATTTAAATTTCAATTCAAATTAATAATTATTGATTCACCCAAAATATTACCTTTTTTTAAGTGAAAATTAAAGTCATCCTTTTGTGAGATTTAGATTTAATGAAGTATAAATTAAATGGGTTTTTTTTTTTTTTTTTTTTTTTTAAATATAAGTTATATTTCTCAATTTTGTCGGACTATATTTTAGACCCCATGAACTCGCCTTCAAACTCATAGGGAGGTAAATCGAAGCCAATCAAGCTTTAAAGACTCAACATCAATTAAGTTGTATACTTTTTTGGAAGGAATTAAGTTGTATACTTATGCACACAAGGAGCCAAACTCAAATCAAAACTCTTACTCTTTCACTAGAAGTAAGTCTTAAGTGACTTTTGATCTACTAGACCAATACCTAAAGAGCAATTGAATGGTTTAAAGTACACATTTTCACTAACAAAATATTATATATAAAAAAGATTGGTGTTCGTGAGAAAAGAGTTGATTACCGAAATTGTCCCTTAACTATAGCGAAATTACCAATTTGGTTCTTCACCATTTTTTTTTTACAATTAAGTCCCTCAACTTTAAAAATCTTAACCAATTTGATTCTCCGTTTGTAGGGATGGCAACGGGGCGGGGCGGGGGCGGGGAGTATACTCCCCGTCCCCGCCACCCCAACCCCATCCCCGTCCCCGTCCCCATCCCCGACGGGGATTTGAAAAAATTCCCCGTCCCCGTCCCCACGGGGAATTTGGCGAGGACGGGGAATCCTCATCCCCGATCAACCCATAGTATAATTAAAAAAAATGAAATCTATAAAAGAAAAATTCAACATTCAATATTCAATAATATATAATATATTTGAATATATACACAGTATTAGTATAGCAATGCTTATGTAATTATGTTCAGAATTTAAATACATATATTCTATATAATATTCAATATATATATATATATATATATATATATATATATATATATATATATATAGTACACAATGCTTTATACAATTATGTTTAATTACATACATTATATTCTATGTAATATTCAATATACACTGACGGTAATAATGTTACCGGAAATATAATATTAGAATGACGTTCCGTGAAAGAGAGTAACAATAGTTGTATTGCTCTTTATCTCAGTATAGAAAGTACAGTGTGTCCCCTGCTCAGCTGAGGGAAGTTCTATTTATG